CGTCCCAGCCTGTGGGGCCCGTGGCGTCGCCAAAGCCAGCGGCAGGTGCCCGGCTGCGCGCGAGGTAGGCTCCCCAGGGCGCGGAGGGGGTGCGAGTGAGAAACAGGACGATTTGCTAGATGTGAGCCTGTGATAGGATTCCAGAATGGGGCATCCTAACCAGCGTAGACAGTCCAGCATCCGCGCCCTGACATAGGTTCAGGGAGCACAGCGGGAACTGGGAATAACAAGGTCGGGCAGGGAATGACCTTTCTGAGTCCATGATTTAAAGTGACCCCAAAGCATTGTTTTCTATTAGTGATTTTTAAGAAAAGAGAAGTAGTTGGCATAATAGTGAGTGATGCCCTGGGCGACTGGGGGGGGGAACTGGGGTGCCGTAAATATTGTCTTGCTCCGTGGTGGTTACACAGGTGCATGCATATGTAAACTCACTGAGCCATACTCTTAAAAATTGTGCACTTCAGGGAAGTTATTCTTTAATTTAGCAAAATTTAAAAATAAATCTAAAGCAGAAACATGGTTTTTTTGAAAAGGTGAGGGAAGAAACCAGACTTGGGAGTCCAAGAAGGACATATGCGAGCAGAGTGGCGCATCTGCTGTTTTTGTGTGTGAGTAGGATCGATTGCGAAATTGGCCTTTCCTGATTCTTATAATTTGCACTTTTATCTTGTTATAGAAAGAAACTGTGTTTCTCCAGGAAAGGACGTGGACGAGTTAACGATGCGTTGAGAAACTATTAGAACAGCTAAGGACTAATTTATATTCATGATGTTAAGTTGTATTTCAAGTTTGTGTGAGAGGGATAGAATTGTACAATTCCCCGTTGCCCTGGCTATGATAAAATTATGGTTCTCTTTTGTCTTAAGTAGAGAACTGCTTTATGAAGTGTCGAGCTTAGGTTCCAAAGTTTCTGGCTTATAAAGGAGACAGGAAAACTGCAACTTTCTTTGCTTTTCTCTATGCAATATAATCAGATACTTCCCCTTGACCTCTCAGAAAACTCTGAGTCATCTCCTGACATCAGGGCCTTGAAAAAGCCATTTATTAACGAATGTTTGCTGAGAAGTGAATGTATGGCCCCCATTCCAAGGGAGGTGCCTTCTCCTTAAATCCTAGGCACACTGAAGCCAAATTTTTCAATAAAGGGAACTTTACCTGAAATACCTGCTTTTATGTGATGTTTTTCTGTTCTCATGGAAAAATCATTAAATTAGACCCACCAATGCTACTATAATCCAAACTAAATTAGTTTCACTAATGATTCCAAGGGAATGTTAGAATTATTGTGTTATATTGTCCTTAATTGGCGGTCTAGAGGTTAAGATTCAGAGCTCTTGCTGCCCAGGTTCATTTCCCAATCAGAGACCCACATCACCCATCTGTCACTTGTCACACTGTGGTGCCTGCACGTTACTGTGATGCTGAGAGCTATGCCATGGATATTTCAAATACCAGCAGGGTCACCCATGGTGGACAGGTTTCAGCAGAGCTTCCAGACTGAGGCAGACTAGGAAGAAGGACATGGCCACCCACTTCCAAAACAATTGGCCACCGAAACTCTGTGAATAGCAGTGGAACATTGTCTGATGTAGCGCCAGAAGGTGAGATGATGGCATAAAAAGACCAGGCAGAGTTCCACTCTGCCGTACCCAGGGCCACTAGGAGTCAGAATCTACTTGAGGGCACTAACAACAACAAATTGTCCTTAATATTGCAAAGTTGACATTGAAAGAACTGGTATTTTCCTCATACATTTAGATAGATTTGCAGTTATGTTTACATATCCTTTTTTTTTTTTCAGTTCCCTTTGTGTGCATTTTCCCATGCAAAAAAGAAGCTATTAGAAAATTATTTGAAAATACAAACTTGTGGAGTGGAGATAGGGTTTGAACCCATGCATCTTCTTTTGCTCCCTCGGGAAACCCCAACAGAACAACAACAGGATTTTTTTAAGGCATAAACCACTAGGATAGGGAGGACAGGAGAGCAGATAAAAGCAATAAAATTTTGACCGCCCTGCCCACTGAGCACGTTGGGGCTGGGCCTTCTTTAATGGGCCTGACAGGACCCATGAGTGGCTCCGAGCCTGTGGGTGTAACTGTGGGACTGCCAGTTTACCAGAGAGGTTGTGTGGCCACCACACCCAGAAAATAAATAAATAAATAAAATTTTGAAATCTGGAAAGTAGATGGACAAGTGGTAAAGGATTTTGCAGACTGAAGAAAGCTAAATTCTAAATGAGCAATGGGGAAAGTCAGTGAGCGACCCAATTTGCATTATAGAATCCCCAAATGCTCAGGAATTAGCAGCACCAGGTACCTCCCGAAGGTGGAAGGGTATGGTTGAAAGTAGGAGGATTGTTGAAAATTCTGATTCAGAAAACACTAAATCTCCAGATCCCTTTCCCACTCCCTGCAACCAAGTATCTGCCCCTCACCACACCAGCAGACTTTGAGGGGTTTATTCCCTGGAGAGGGCAAAGCAAAGAATCTCTGGCCTGGGAAGACACAATACACAGTTGGGGATGGGAGTACCATACTGAAAATAAGGGGACTAATTGAACACAGGTAAACTGAATGCTGGGACCCCCTCTGCCACTTCTGCCCTTATTTTCTCACGTGAGTATAGAACTATGGCCCCAAGGACTTGATACTTGCAACAGAGATTGGGAGATCCATCTATGGAAACCCTGACCAGCCCAAAGAAAGGAAGAAGACAAACCAACAGAAAAACCAACTCGTAAGTAACAGACTCTGCAGATAAATAAGAGAAAATATATCTATTCTGTCTGTGAAATAAGAACAAAATAATATAAAAAGAGAATATCAGAACCAAAAAGGAGCTCTTGAAAATTAAAGACTTGTTAGCAGAAAAGAAAAGGTAAATAGAAAGGTAGAAAGATAAAAATTAAGGTAGTCTCAGAAAATAGGGCAAAAAGATAAAGAGATAGAAAAAAATATGAGAAATTTACAATACTAAGTCAGAAGGGTCTACAGCCAAATAAAAGGGGTCCCAGAAAGAGAAAGAGAAAAAAAAAAAAAAACAAAAGAGAGAGATATAAATCGTCATCTAAATAATTCAAGAATTTTTTCCAGAATTGAAGGATATGAGCTTCCAGATTAAAAAGAACTTGAAAATAGACCCAAAATAAGGCATAGAATTATGAAATTACAAAAACTAGGGGCAGAGAAAAGCTTTGAGAAAAAGAAAAATACTGGCCACATGGAAAATATCAGGATCAGAATGGCTTTGAACTTAATAACTCTGAAAGCCAGAAGACAATGGAATGATTCCTTCAAAATTGTGAGAGAAAATGGTTTCGAACCCAGAATCCTATACCCAGCAAAACTATACATCAAGGATGAGGAATAGCATGAAAACGTCTTATACATGCAAAGTTGTAAAAAACTTTTCTCCCATGCACACTTTCTCAGAAAGCTGCTAGAGGTTATGCTTCACCAACATAAGGATGATAATCAGATAAAGGAAACTTGGAGATTCATCAAATGATAAGAAGGAAATCTCCAGGAGATGATCAAAAGAGATCCTAGAATGCCAGCTGTGCACCAGGAGTAGAGAGCATCCAGGTCAGAAGGCTCTAGGAGAGTCTTCTCCAAGATGATGATAGTGATAGACTATCTGATAACTGAAGAGGTTGAGGGTATATCTATAGGAGCTTGGGACAATTGGCAGAGCTGAGAGATGAATTAGTAACAAGTACTTAGAAATTTTATAAATGAAAAGCAAGACAGTTATTAACTACAGAATGAAAAAGTACAGAAAAGGAAAAGTAATCATTTAATACTATGTGGCTTAGCCATGAATAGAATTTACCTAGTCATATTAGTGTGTACTCCAAATATTTAATCAAAAATATGCTATGTCTATATCAAAAGGTTAGGAAAAATGAGAAGGTGGCGTATGTGTGTGTTGGGAAGTTGAAAGGGAGCTAAATGCTTATCTTCTCTAGATGCTACCTAGAGATGAAAAATCAAGATACAAAATAAGCATGCTACTTTGAGATATAATTTTT